TTTTGGTTAATGTAGGCGCAACAACTTTGTTACTAAGATGCTCTCAATAATAAATACAAAATTCACAATAATTTTTTTAGAATATATTAACAAACTCAAAGAACCATATTTAGTTGCCAATTTCCAAAAATACTTTGGCATCTATAGGATTCACAATATTAAAAATGAACAATCACAGTGCGACTGTCATTTAAATAATTCATCCCATAAAAATCAAGCAGCTAATAACGAAAATACAGTTGCCTATTCCAACGGCAGTGTCAAAACTATCAAACATAGGCGTCAATGTAGTAGCAGTAGCTCAATCAATTCAGAAGCAGAAGAAAATCAAACTGAAGGTGATTCGGAAACAGAAACTACAATTAATTATAGAATTGATAATGTCTTTTGGTATTATTTATTTAGTTTTGGTGCTGCACTTGGTTATGAAACCTTTTATATTTTATTTTTCCCATTTTGGTTTTGGAACATTGATGGTGCAGTTGGAAGGAGGGTAATTTTAGTTTGGGCATTTGTTATGTACATTGGACAAGCATTAAAAGATGTAATTCAATGGCCTAGACCATCCTCACCACCAGTAGTTCAATTGGAAGCAAATTATGCCATTGAATATGGAATGCCATCAACCCATGCAATGGTGGGTTTTGCAGTTCCATTTTCTCTTCTGATTTTCACCATGCACAGATATCAGGTAAGTTTGTTTTTTTTTTCTATTTTATCTATCAAAATACATTTATATTTGTAATGACACTTAGATTTTATAATATATATAGTCAGCTATAATTACAAAGGCAAAAATTTGTCCCAATTAACAATAGCCCCAATTCAATGGTAAATAGCAGTTTTGCTCTAATGCTATTTTGACAAATGCTTACATCCACTAAGCTGAGAGCCTATAGAATAAGCATAACAAAGTATATTTAGTCATTTACCAAATTCACAACAACTCAAATATGTTTTGAAAATAGAGCAATCCATAAATAGATTTTTATGTACTTATATTTTCAAAATATGTTTTTAACACACAGAAAATGTAATATACTTTTTCTCTCCCTTTCAATATATATTCAATACAAACGCTGCTCATCCTGTATCCCTGGATCAGGAGCCCTTACAGGGTACTATCAGCCGGGCCAGCTGAGCCCAGGTTTTTTAGTGAGCTTGTTACTGCTCCCCCTCCTCCTTTTTGATCCGGTCTTGGGACCAGCAAAGGCGGAGTTTGATCTATCCTTAATATGTTGGATTAGGTATAGTCAAGTTAATTGGGTCGTTCATTACATGTTTTATTGTATATTGATTATTTAATAGACCTCAGGTCCACTAAGTATAAGGTGTATTCAGTCAGTAATTGAGTATTTTCACTCTATTACAAGGTTGTTGTCTTCTTCTTCTTTCTTATCTCCACTCAATCACACTAAGGTATCAAGCTTGTAAAGCTTGAGACTTTTGATGGTGTCTGCTGGGAAAGAGTAGAGCTCATCAATGGATGAGTCAATACAGTCAATAATGTGTTTTGGGGTTGCAGGTTGAGAATTGCACTTGGTACATAGTGGGAAAACCTTGCAATCATTCTGGAAAGTCATTGTCCGTAGATGACCAGACTTAAGTCTGGAAATCAAGTCACTTAAATGATCTCCATTAGGTCCCATATAGGGTCTCATAGGTCTCTATTACAAGGTAACAAGACCATATCTAAATAAGTAATTTATACAGTAGAACCTCCCTTTATCGGACACCCCTCTAGCGGACACCTCTCTACAAAGAACAGTTTTCATTTGCAAAATTACTATTTTTACTATTTAGCAACTCTCCAGTAAGAGGACACCTCTCTTTGGCTCTGCAATTAGGTGTCCTTTACAGGGAGGTTCTACTGTATGTGTTTTGGTAACACCATTTATATTGAGTTGAGTTTTGTCTGAAGATGGTAACAATGCTGTTATCAAACTGTTGTATATACTTTTTTTTTCTTATCCCTAGTACATGTGGTACAGGCCATGATAATCATGGTGAGTAGAGGTAGGCAAATGCTTTTACTGTAAGTGAACCACATGTCTACACATGTGAAAAGCAGTTCGACTTTGCTCTTACAAATGTGCCAGAGTCCCGTTTGGTTACTTGCACTCGCTGGTGGGGTTGGACTTTTGCAAGAATCAGAGGCCATTGGATTATTATTTTTTTTTTAAACAGAAAAAAAGTGCCCAATGCGGGAATCGAACCTAGGTCGTAGCGGTCGAAAACTAACGGTTTAGACCATCCTTCCACCGACCCCCCTGTTGTATTTACCTATTTGGGCTAGTATATTTTGTCTATAATTTAAATGATCTTATAATGAATTTTTAGAACCCAATATATCTAGTGGATGGTTAAATTGGGTCAGTAGGCCATTTACACTGAGTGTAATAAATACTGATGGGAGATATACACTAGAACCTCTTTCTGAAGACCTAGTTGCAGAACCAGTGGCCTTTAGAGAGATGTATTTTGATTGGAGAAATGTTAATTATTAAAAATGTGGCAATGATGAACTGTCATTTGTAGAGAGGTGTCCTCTAGCCAAAGTTCCCTCTCGTGGAGGTTGTTCTATTCTTATGATATTTAAGAAAAGACATCTTATTGTGAAACTGAAATCTTTTTTTTTTCATTAAAATAATTATGTTGATAAACAAAGTTTAATTTAACTACAAGAAAATAAGGCCTAATCCAAATAAATTAGTAGTGTGTGACATTTTGGTAACAGCTATATATACTAACACTAAAACTACTACTACTAAAACTAACACTATTAATTTATTTGGAATAGGTCTTATTTTCTTGTAGCTATAAACTATAATCCAAATTGTGCTTTATCACTGTTTAATTTATTAAATCATAAGTCAAAATTTGGTGCAAAAGGCTTTTCGACAACCTTCATATTTACTTATACAGTCTTCTTCTTCTTCTTTCTTATCTCCACTCAATCATATTAGGTTATCAAGCTTGTAAAGCTTGAGATAATGACTGGGTGAAGTAAAATGCGTCTGCCTTTGTCATTATGACTGGGAGCACTACTCAGTAACAGGCCGACTTAGCTCCAAAAGAAATGACCGCCTCTGACATGAGGAACAGACGCCATGTGCAGCCTCTCTTAACATAGAGTACAAACGCTGCTCATCCTGTATCCCTGGATTAGGAGCCCTTACAGGGTACTCTCAGCCGGGCTAGCTGAGCTCAGGTTTTTTAGTGAGCTTGTTACTGCTCCCCTTCCTCCTTTTTCATCCGGACTTGGGACCGGCAAAGGCGGAGTTTCATATACATATACAGTAAAGCCTCCCTGTTAAAGACAACACCTAGTTACAGAGTGAAAGTGTCCTTTAGGGAGAGGTATCCTCTTACCAGATAGTTGCTAATTAAATGGTAAATTTGGCATTGAAAACTGACCTTTATAGAGAGGTGTCCTCAAGTGAGAATGTCCTCTCATGGAGGTTCTACTTGTGTAATCAAATAAAATTAAATCATTCAAAATATCTCAATAAAGATGTTACAAGTTTTATTTAATGTTGGACAAATATATAAAAGTTAAAGGCTTGTCAAAGAGCCTTCTGCTTGAGAGCTCACACTATGGTTTAATAAAAGAAGAGCATACTGCTTATCAACAATATCTTTTTAATTCTAAACTTTTTTTTTTTTTTGTAAGTCAACTGAAAGTTTTTGATTGCTTGCACCATTTATTGAAATATTACCAAACTGTCTATTTTTAATTCCAGAACATTGTCCAAAAAAAAATCCTTTGTTCTATTATTTCATATGTCTACAGTCTCCTGGGTTCTCTTGCCTTCTATAACAATGCAGATATCTTGATAGTGACAATAATATAATGACAATTGTATAAGGCTATCCAGTAGAAGCATGAGCTTTAGAAGTGCAACACAGTGGCTCTCACGCTAGAGGACACCTCTCTATAAAGGACAATTTCCATAGCCAAAAATACTATTTTTACTATTTAGAAACTCTCCGGTAAGAGGACACCTCTTCCTAAAGAACACTTTGCCTCTGCAACTAGGTGTCCTTTACAGGGAGGTTCTACTGTATATAGAAATGTAAAAATGAATAAAAAATTAAATTGAGATTGATGTGAGATGGCAAAAGGAGAAAAGCTGTTTTGCCATTTAAGAGTTGGCCTTGGGTCTAGTTTCCTGTTTTTTGTTCTATCGGCCCTTGAATGTCATTTTGATCCCATAATTTTGGCATTAGTTCCGAAAAAGACACCTTTGATAGAGTTTCCAAATCTTAAAGTTGTATGTGTAGCACTTAGTACATTATTGTGTTTTGTGGGGTCCTTAGATTCACAATTTGATATATGGGGGGTCGGTGGAAGGATGGTCTAAATCATTGGTTTTCGACCGCTACGACCCGGGTCGATTCCCGCATTGGGCACATTTTTCTGATTAAAAAAATAAATAAAATGTTCCGATGGCCCTCGCATCTTGCAAAAGTCCAACCCCACCAGCGTGTGCAAGTAACCAAACAGGGCTCTGGCACATTTGTAAGTTCAAAGTCGAACTTGCTTTTCACATGTGTAGACATGTGGTGCACTTACAGTAAAAGCAGTCGCCTACTTCTACCCACCATGATTATCATGGCCTGTACCACGTGTACTAGGGATAAGCAAAAGAAAACAATTTAATATATCCTATTGTTTAACTACATTAATTATAATAAAAGAATATACAGTAGTACAACCTCCATGAGAGGACACTCTTGCTAGAGGACACCTCTCTACAGACAATTTTCATTGTCAAAATTACCATTTTTACTAATAAGCAACTCTCCGGTAAGAGGATACCTTTCTTTAAAGGACACTTTGGTTTTGCTACTAGGTCTCCTTTACAGGGAGGTTCTACTGTAAATGGAAATTTTTCCATTAGGATATTGATCTAAAAAGATAAAGGCTGTCTCTCCTCTCAAAATAAATGCCAACATTAGGGCCATCTATTGATTGTCCCTGCATTCTAGCAGTCTTAGGTCAGTAACAAAACCAGCTTTGCCAAATTCGTACATTCCTTGTCACCTTCCCAAGTACTGACCAAGCTCGACATTTGCTTAACTTCAGTGATGGATGAGAACCGGTGTTTTCAACGTGGTATGGCCATAGGCATATATACAAACATTCCTTGTGGTTCTCCTGAAATCCCACTTAGGATTGACCAGGGTCATAGCCCAAAACCATGGTCACTAGGTGGGTGTTAAAAATTCGCCAAAGCTGGTGTTGTGGCTTTGTCATTGACCTGAATCTGATAGATTGCAGAGATGGTCAATAAATATTTTTTGGCATCTCTTATTCTGACAGGAGTGGTGGCCTTTCAATTTTTGAATTTTTGCATTTTTAAAAATACTTATCTATATATATAAAATTGAATGTCTGTCTGTTTGTCTGTACTCTATAGATTCAAAAACCATACATCCAATCGCCGTGAAATTTTGGGATATTATTAGGTATATCAACGGGAAGGTTTTTGAAAAATAATTTCATGAATATCTTGAATATCCTTAGAGTTATTTGCAGATATGTAGATTTAACTCGCAAGCAGCGCCCCCATTGTGACGATGATAACAAGTTTTCTTATCACTAAGTTTGTTATCTTAAATATTATTTTTTAAAAGTAAGATTATCTCAGGATGACACGGCAATGTGACACGGGAAAAAATGTTCACTAGATAAAACTATGATTTTCTAATGTAGAAAATTAGGAAAGGCAAAATTCAGGATGACACGGCACACAGGGACCGGGAAAAAATGTTCACTTTATCGAGAGATTCAAATTTACGAGTTTCAAATTATCAAAATAGAGAATTGTTTTAACAAATGTTCGCTAGACAAACCTTTACTCGGGTAAAACCTCGGGCGAAGCCGAGTACGTTTTATAAGTTTATAGAGAATTGTTTTAACAAATGTTCTTTAGACAAACATTCACTCGGGTAAAACCCGGGCGAAGCTGGGCACATCCGCTAGTTAATATATATAGATTATCTTTACATTCAAAATGTGGGGGGTCGGTGGAAGGATGGTCTAAACCGATGGTTTTCGACCGCCACGACCCGGGTTCGATTCCCGCATTGGGCACTTTTTCTGATTTGAAAAAAAAAAATGCTTCAATGGCCTCCGATTCAAGTTCAACCCCACCAGCGAGTGCAAGTAACCAAAATGGGGCTCTGATACATTTGTAAGTGCAAAGTCGAACTGCTTTTCACATGTGTAGACATGTGGTGCACTTACAGTAAAAAAGCAGTCGCCTACTTCTACCCACCATGATTATCATGGCCTCTACCACGTGTACTAGGGATAAGCAAACATTCAAAAGGTAATAAGACCAAATCCAAATAAATGAATAGGATTTAGTCTCTTATTACCTTGTGTTTATAATCTATGATTCAAGTTGTGCCTTATCATCTTTACATAAAAAATGCAAAAAAAAAAAAAAAAAATGCAAATGACTTCCAAAATTAAGTTACATGACAAAGAAAAAGCCTTTCTTAATAAGATACCAATTGAAAATTTAAAAAAAGCCATTATCAAACTTTTGAAAGTAACATAAAACAAGCAGATCTATAGAGCAAGTTAAAAATGAGATTTAACATTTCCAATTTATAAGACAAAAGGTCAGTTTACATTGTTTAAATTACCATTGTATATAAAACTAGACTTCATCTATTGACTGTTGCCATAAACTAGAGGCCTTGGGTCGGTGACAAAGCCACAACACCACCTTTGGCATCTAGTCTTGATGTCTATTTTGATGGAAGAGACAACCTTTGATTTTAAAGATCAATATTCTCCTGGCAAAATTTCCATCTATATTTTGGCCATAGATTTGACCTAGCCACTTTGCCGGCTAAACACCTCTTTGGCAGATTGTCAAGATTCCATTAGATCCCTTAGGGATCTCATGAAATTAAGAATATATACACGTTGGTGGACGAGTGGGTAACACCCTCTATTTCCGACAGTCATGAACCGGGATTGAATCCTGTGTTAAAATTTTGTTTAATATATGAATAACCTTCACATATTATTCACTGTTTCAATTATCATGAACTAGGTTGCTCTTGTTGAGCAGTACCTAATAATGTGATTTTGAACCGGCATGAAATAAAGTGGACCGTTAGCCCAAAAATATAGTCTCCAGGTAGACACTTCTCAGTTTTCCAAGGCTGATGTTGTGGTTTTGTTACCATCCTGAGGCCACTAATTTGTTGCGATGGTCACTAGATGATGTCTAATTTTGACGTCTATTTTGATAGGAGAGGAGACCTTTACTTATACACTTATCCCCCGATTTACACGGTAGATACGTTCCTGAGAAAAACGTGTAAATCGGGGGATAGGTGTACACAGAAATAAAAATAAAATGCATTGATAGGTTAAAATATGTAGTCAGCACATAAGCTCGGGATTCCTCGTGAGATGTGTACACAGCGCATGTGTTCAATCACAGTAGCATTTAGTATAGTGCGATAAAAAAAAAACTTATTTGGAAAACCGTGTAAAAGCGAAAAGGTGTAAAACATGTACCGTGTAAATCGGGGGATAGGTGTATATATATATACACAGTTAAACCTGTCTATAGCGCCCCCTCTTGGAACTCACCAAAATAGGTTGCTATAGATAGGTCACTTTTAATGTAAATCGCATCGTACTACTTATTTAAAATCGGGCGTTATAGAGAGGGAAGTGCTATTTAGAGGAGGTGCTATAGACAGGTTTAATTGTATATTGATATGCTAAAAAGCCCACAATACATTATTAAAGTGATTTGATAGCGAAAACATTAAAGGGGTTTATTACTGATTAGCCAGGCCCGTCCAATATTTTTCATCATTGCAATAAGGACAGTGGGAAGTCATTTTACAAAAAAAAATTGTGATAAATACAGTTAAACCTGTCTATAGCGCCCCCTCTTAGGACTCACCAAAATAGGGTGCTATAGAGAGGGAGTGCTATAGACAGGTCACTTTTAATGTAAATTGCATTGTACTACGTATTTAAAATTGGGCGCTATAGAGAGGAAGGCGTTATTTAGAGGGGGGGCGCTATAGACAGATTTAACTGCAGTGTGAGAGTATATAGAGTATTCACAACAATTGCTATAATTTAATCTTTTTTTTTTTAATATCGCAAATGGTAGCCTTTCAATTACCATCTTCAATTCAACCAAAGAGTGAGTTAAAGATAGTAATTTGAAAGGGAAATTATTGGTCACAGGGTTTTAAGAAAAAAATGTTTGAATTGTTGTGTGTTGGAAATTGTAGCCTGTTAAATTAGAGAAGTTATTCTGTACAAAGATCAATAGGTTTACCTTCATAGATACTTTAGCCATTTAAATGAAGTTCACAATTTATTTAAAAAAATAGAAATTTGCAAGCCATTGTACATTGAGAATCATAAAATCATTTTTGACTGTATCTTCTTCTTGCTTTTCCCTAGTACACATGGTACAGGCCATGATAATCATGGTGGGTAGAAGTTGGCGACTGCTTTTACTGTAAGTACACCACATGTCTATACATGTGAAAAGCAGTTCGAGTTTGCACTTACAAATGTGCCAGAGCCTGTTTGGTTACTTGCACTCGCTGGTGGGGTTGGACTTTTGCAAGAATCAGGGGCCATTGGAGCATTTTTTTTCTTAAATCAGAAAAAAGTGCCCAATGCGGGATTCGAACCCGGGTCGTAGCGGTCGAAAACCAACGGTTTAGACCATCCTTCCACTGACCCCCCCTTTTGACTGTATTGTAGGAATATACTCGGAGGATTGAAAGGATCTTGTTGACAAAGGAAGGATTGAGCCCAGTAGAACTACCTCTGTGTTTAAAGCACATCTAATTGCAGAGCCAAACTATTCTTTAGAAATAATAAGGCACAATTTGGATTATAGATTGCCAATAGATAGATAGCCAAACTGAAAACCAAGTGTACATATTATTTATTCATTTAGATTTGGTCTTATTACCTTATGTTCTTTAGAAAGTGGTGTCCTGCTACTGGAGGAAATTTTGAGGATGAAACCAGAATAAAGGTGTTTTGTAGCAGGAGTGTGGAGGTTCTCTATTCTATAATAGAATATTATAGTCTGTGTATGGGTGGAATATGGAAATAGAATTGAGTTATCCCATGACCTACATGATGTAAAACTGTACTTTAGCCATACATAGGACCATACAGAATCTCATAGGGAATGCAGACTGAGCATCTGTGTGCTGCCCATTGTTAGGATCAGCTCACATATGTGTAGTTTAACATACCATCCCTGGACACTTTTATTTTTCCGTTCGTCATTACTCTTCATATTTCACCCTTTCATACTTCATCCAAAAAAGTTAGAAATAGTCAATATTTCTCCTTGAAATAAGTGTTGATTTTTCACAGAAAAGAAACTCATGCGGTGAAACTTCAAGTGTCGTTTTATAATCACAGGCCGCAGTGCATTATAATGTATTATAAGTTATCTTTTTTCTTTATATACTCCTCCCAAATGTACACGTGATACAGCCAATGCTAATCATTGTTGATTGTTAGTGACTGCTATTACTGTAAGTGCATCACCTGTCTGCACATTTCTACAGTTTGATGTATGCATTTACAATTGTGCTAGAGCTATGTTTTGTTATTTGTACTTATTGGTGAGGTTGGACTATTGAAAGAATTGGGGATGGAGTGGACATAGCTAATTTTTAAAGTGCCATTTTCTCTACCTGCCACAGTATCACATAACATTCTTTGTTGATTCAGGCGCTATATGAACCTAAACGGGACTCTGGCACATTTGTAAGTGCAAAGTCAAACTGCTTTTCACATGTGTAGACATGTGGTTCTCTTAACAGTAAAAGCAGTTGCCTACTTCTACCCACCATGATTATCATGGCCTGTACCACGTGTACTAGGGATAAGCAAAAAAATAATAATAATAATTGTGCCAGAGCTCTGTTTTGTTATTTGCACTTATTGGTGAGGTTGGACTTTTGAAAGAATCAGAGATGGGAGGGCATAGCTCATTTTTAAAGTGCCATTTTCTCTACCTGCCACAGTATCACATAACATTCTTTGTTGATTCAGATGCTATATGAAACTAAACAGGACTCTGACACATTTGTAAGT